GGCGTGTAGTGCAGCGCGCTGGATACATCATGCCGCCAATTTGAAGCGAATATTATCGCGTGTTTGATGCTTCTTTGCCGTTTTTTTGTTTTGCTTTGTTCCGTTCTGTTTTCTCTTCCAATATCTCATGACGGATTTCATTGTGAAGTCACGAGGACTTCGTTTTTTTCGCAAGTTCGGGAAACCACCTCGTGCCGAGCCCTGTATCGGACACTCTGTATCTATATCAGACACACGTCTGCACAGTTTCGTGATTTTCTCATGGCTAGAAATGGAAAAAACGAAACTTGCAATGAAAGAGTACTAAGCTTTCCCAAGGTAGGTGATTCCTATATCATGAACCTTCAAAGTATGACCATCCAGCTTTCCTTGAGCAATAGTTTCCGAGAACTGTCCTAGCCATGTGGAAATCTCACCAATTGTACACGTAAAAGTACAATGTAGTAAGTACCTGGCATACCGAGGGGGGGGGGGAAGGGAGACGGTCAAGAGGCGCGATTTCTCGGCTGTCAGCAACTCAAAACTTCAGTTTAGTGCTACGCAAGTGTTCAAAAAGTACCGGATAAAGTGCATTAGTTTACCATCCGCCTGAGGCTACCACTTGCCGAGTTTGGTGCCTTTTGCTGGAAAATGGACCGAAATATTTACGAGTTTGTTTTTAGCTGCATTTCTAAGCGTTTTTGATCTTCAAAAGTGATGTTTTGAATTGGTTCCAAAGTATCAAAGTTGAACAACTCATGCAAATATCTAATATATCTCCTTCTAAATCTCAAATACTTTTGAAAAGTTATAAAACACTTATTTTATGCCATTTGGTGTCCATCAGGCGATAAAAATCGCGCCTCTTGACATACACCTGGGGGGGGGGGGGGGGGAAGGAGAGTGGCGCCCCCCTCTATGAGAATGGGTCGCGAAATTTTAAAAGTTTCTTGAATGTGTTACAAAAATGTGCAAGCAACTTCTTTTCACTTGCAAAATTAAAATAATTTTTTCAAAATTTTGAAAATTCGAATTAGCCTTATAAAAATTTTTTTTCGCGGGCGTGTGGGGCCAGGGGTCGCAAGAATTTTAAAGAGCAAAATTTTTTGGAGGGCGTCTCACGCCTTTTTCGGAGGGCGTGAGACGCCACGCATCTTCTTTCGAAAAAAACTTTTGTCCCTCATTCCCGAGCGCAATTTATACGTACGCCATTGGTAAGTACATCTCTAAGCAAACTGGAGATCCACAGGAATTTTATGGATGGAGATGCAATCGGGTATTTGGAATTTCCTATACTTTAGTTATAGGAAATTAAACTTTACGTAAAACGGATTTTCCACGAATTTTTGTAATTCATCTTGTAGAGCTTGTTTGCTCTATTGGATGGTACCTCATTTGCTTTTTTCTTATTCTTCCGCCGCGGTAGCATGTAATGCGACATTATTTTCGGGACAATCTAGAGGTTCCTTCAAACTACGCCGCAGGACGCGGCGTACGCGGCATGCGCAGCAGGAATCGCTCTGAATATACGTTCAAGGCAACGCCTTTTCGCTGGTTATGTATGTATCTCTATATTTCCTGCACGTTCACGTTCATACATACATAACCATCGAAAAGGCGTTGCTTTAAACGTATAGTTTCGAGCGATTCCTGCTGCGCATCCGAAACTCTGCGTCTTGCGGCGTAGTATGAAGGAACTCTAATATTTGACATTTTCATAAACTCTAAGAGATAATCACAATGTAGCGAAGATCTCCAGAGAGTATTTAGGCGCGCTATGAGCGGAAACAAATAAAGGGTTTCACATTCATTAGGTTTACTAAGTTTTTATAAAGGGCTTCACATTTACTAAGTTTTGCAACTCACTAGATAATCTTGCTCCCATTTGATATAAAGCACTTAAAATTTGCCAACTTAGATAATTGCCGGGGACAGGCGGTTCGTAAACTCGCGCTTTTCTGCAAGCGGTCAGCAGAATCTTGGGGCGTGGCCAAACCTTCAGGGGGTGACAATTCCTTTACGGTCGCATATTCTGCCAGCGGGCAGCAATACAGCATTTTCTGCAAGCGCTCGGCAAATAATTTTCTTCAGCAAGCTCTCGGAATCATTTTACGCAGTCTCGGCCATACGCCGAGCAAAGGTGAGACTCTTTGTGGCAGAGGTGCCATCGATGGCTTGATTACCCATTTCAAAGTACCTTTTTTCAGCGGAAGAAGGTACCCCGGGCAGTGCGGTCCTCCACAAAGGACCGAGCGGCCCCATAAATCCTGCATATTCTCGCGAAAAGTCCGCGAGAATGCGGCCAATGGGCTGCAACCTATCCATAGATAGTTCTCGGAGCGTTTGTCCAAAAATTGGCCGAAATTATTCCAAATTTTGCAAGCGGACCGCAAGAAATCAGCGAACTATTTTTCCTGTGCCCGCCTGCTCAAAATTCGCATTGCCGTTTGCCCCCGGCGATTGTCTGAGAATGTGTAGGTTATGACGTATGCAACAAGCATAGTTGCTGTTACGCCAAATTCTAACGTCGCAGCGAGGGTTACGGTAGGTATATGGTATGAAGGAGCGAAGTAAAAATATCATTACGAATTTGGCTGAAACTTGGCGTAATGAGTTATCTTACTTGCTGATCACGAATAACGTACTGAATTTGTGTGGTAAAGGCTTTTTGAAGGATTGCTGTAGCTTTACGGTGTTGGGTTTCGCCCTTAACAATGGACAAGACGTTAATTTAACAGACGAATTGATATTGTGCAGGGAATAACCTCACTATGTGAAGTCTCCGCGGAGTTTGACGTTCCCACTCCCTAGTCATTGATGGTTGCCCACCAGCCTTGCGTACTTTAACATCGTGAGCGCGCTAGATCTCGACTTGTCATTCAATTCTATTCCTTTCCTACTAAGTCAAATGAGTCAACCTCAAACGACGATCCACATAGAGTTTTGGATCAATATGTATGATTTGGGTCACGAACGGCGTCATTTTTGCTTATAATCTCATAAATCCCCGAACCTTACTAATTTTGGAAGAATGCTTGTGAACTGTTCCTTTTGTTTTCAAAAATCAAACAGTTCATGCAGGGTTGTAGCACACATTGAGATCTACATATAGCTAAAATTTGAGTGTGCCACGTTCAATGAGAGTAAAATTATGAAAGCATTTGCAAATCTTAGTTTCCAATCTATTATTTCTTCTGTGTACGAAATTTCGACAAGACTAGTCTCCCCAATTTTGTTTCCAAAATTGGATTATAATGATATCCTTCGAAAGTGTCATGCGTGTCTTGCCTTGCTTCATCGAATGTTCAGTTTAGGGCTCTTAAAGTTCGACTGCCGAAGGATGTTAATAAGGGTGCTCGTTTTGCGACAGTTTGATACTCAACTTCTTAAGTAGCTACAGTCTCAACTTTACAGTATTACAGTGAACGATACAGGTTAACGAACGAGAATGTTTATCGAATGAATGAATGAATATATTAGGTCGTTCCGAAAGTAATGTCGCTTTTTTCAAACGTATGCCACATCTCGTGAAACAAAGTTATGTAAGAGATTTTGGCAGCATTTTATGCAGCATTTCATTCCCTTTCTAATGGCTATGAAGTTGTTGCAATAAATTCAATGAGCTTCTAGAATAGAGTCAAAATCTGCGACCTATGCTTTTTGAGATGGCCAAGTTTCACAATTTTTCTAAAATTTTATAACAAACCTCAGAAGGAGTCCAAGTAATGGATTTATGGAGCAAATCCTACAGGAAACAGCACAAGTTTTTTCTACTTTCCAAAGCTCGTCATAATTTTTGTGCAGATTTTTTGATGGAACCACCGAATTTTGGCAGGCTCGTCTCAGACACAAGTGCATTAAACGCCAACAGGTCTCCGAATTTTGAAACTTAAAAAGATGGATTATGGTTTGGCAACAATTTTACAAACCAAACGAGCATTCACCGCTTCGGTTTAGCAACTTTCGAAAATTTCGGGTACACCTTGGGGTGTCTTGGAAAAGTTGAACTATGATGATTTTATCCCGGAAAACTCAATGAATCGGAAACAAAAAATAACCGCTAGAAAGAGGAGAAAAAGCTGCATCGAATGACACCCGATTCGCTTGCCGGTTGTTGTTCTGTGAAGTTTGACTTGACTAAATATGGAATTTGATGGCATTGAGAAATTGATTGTAGAAACTTTGAGAAGCAAGCTAAGAAGAAGAAAAATCACTCTGAGTTCTATAGTTTTTCGGAGATTAGGTACAAAAATTTAGAAAAATAGCCGTTGACCATGGCAAAAAGCATGAGTCGCAGATTTTGGTAATTTTTCGAGAGCTCATTGAACAAAATTAGAACTTTTAGAAAGAGGATGAGATGCTGCATTGAATGCTCCTAAGATCTCTTGAAAAAGCGATTCCACGAATAGTGGCGTTCATTCGACAAAAGCGACATTACTTTCGGAACGACCGAATAGAACAACTGACTACTAGAATTTTTTTCGAACGAATGAATATCGAATAACTAAATTTCGAAAAATTAATTTTCAAGTGAACAAATATTATTTGAGTTCTGATTTTCATAATATTCGAAGTCGAATATTCGAATGCTGGCACGTTCCTAGATTCGAACTTCCTATTATTCGACTGCCCGAACGAACGAATAACTAACTACCATTGAATGTTCGAATGCAATATTCAATTTTTCGGATATTCGAACAACTGTTTTCCAACATCGTGAATTCTCGAATATTCAAATAACTATTTTTGAAATCCCTTGAATGTTCGAATATTCGAGTAAGTCACTTTTACGAATGAACAAATAATCGAATTACGGACTTTTTTACATTCGACCATTAGAATAATTGAATAACTGGACTTCTTCGGATATTTGACTCAAATAATAATTCATTCAAATATTCGAATGGTCGAATATTTGAAAGAATTATTCGACCAAATATTCGGTTCCAACTATAGACAAAATCTGCTATCACAGAACAAAAAACAGTAGATTTCCAGCAGCGTGTTCCCGAATAACATACCTGTGCTGTAACAACGCGGTATTCCGTTGTACTTCTTATGTCGACATCAAACTTACCATAAAGTAGTTTGACTTTGTTGGCAATTGTCCATGATGCAATCTAGATTAAGAATGTTTTTTTGGTAGCTAACATACTGCAATTCAAACCTGCTTGCTGTAAATCTGTCTTGAAGTGTCGCGTACTATTCTAAAAACCCTTGCTTGAACATCCTGAAGCAGGAGAGATGAATCGACCGATTGTAGGCTACACATAAACATGTATAAAATCTATGCCTTCAGGAAAACTATGCAACAGCGAGGGTATACATGGATGAATTAGCTTAATATCTGTGTAATATACACTCATTATCGCCAGAAACTTTCTTAATTGAATGACTACAAAGGCTTTTCGTCTTCTAAATCAATTTTAAGTGCTCTCAAGTCTCTTTTCTTTTAATTTATCTTGCTTTAAGAATATAATTGTCAAAATAAAAATCTATATCAAATTTGACCGGATTATAACAGAAATAAAGTGTCAAGACAGACTATATAATCAAAAGTTTAGTTGCTTTTTGGCGTGCCAGTATGGAATCGCAGCATGCGAACCATAGCAGTGCTTTGAAAAATTGAGGCTAGGGCTTAAACTTCACGCAGAACTTTTTCTTTTCTTTTCGATGAAACCTTTAAGCAATCCATTGATTCCCAAATGCCCGCTAAGGTTCCTTATCACAAGTCAATATTTCTAACAGACTTCAGAGTTTGGAAGGAAATTGCATTTTTACCAAACTCTTCTACTCAATCTTCGCTTATACGGCCTTCACAAGCACATTCACTTACCCCTTATTTCACAGGTACAGATCCACTTTTTTCTTGGTTGAATGGCAGCTCGGCCGCACTTATACCTCAAAGAAAGGTTGCTCTAATGCACAATTCTCTGGGATGAGGCCTAGCACGATAGAGGATTGTTTGATCTCGCCATTCTTTGGCGTTTACAAGCTCAAGTTCAGAGAGAAAGTGTCTTGTGCTCATGATGTTATGAAACATATCCCGGCCAGATTATGAACTAACTTTGTTAATTAACTGAATTGTAATGAAGATATTCGTGCAATTTTGAGAATTTCCTTTTCTGACTTATTTTCTCACTCGCTTTAGATTTAACAAAGAAATTTGTAAATCTAGACCTAAGGTCATACCTTCTATACAAAAAGCCATATACTCTGATGACCTTAACTCTGAGTGATATAAGAGAACACAACCTTTATCAAAAAACCGAATTATCCGGAACGAAGCGCCAAATGTTAAGGTCATAACTATATCGATATAATCTTGGAAGTAAGTGTAATGAGTAAAATCTCAAAAATAGCCCAGCAAAACCAAAAAACTGTTTTTTCATAGCCTTCTCTGAGCCAAACATAAGGTTTCTGTGTTAATTTCATATCTCGCGGACGGAGATGCTGGTTTATCTCGTTAAAGGCAGCGTACACCCAAAATCTAAGTTACCTAATTTCCTAGATTTTTCTACCGTGTATATACTGGGCCCAGAAAAAGACCAATTGCGTTGGTCCGTCTCCCAATGTTGCTTCTCAGCGGAGAAACCCCCCCCCCCCTCAATTTTCTTTCACTCCGCCCCTTTTTTTCAATCCGCCTCCTCCGGACGCGAATCCACGACAGCGTAAGCTGCAGTTGCAGTTGCAGTTGCAGTTGCACCTACTGTTGCAAACGCAACAGTATATGCAACAATGCAGTTGCTTCTTGCGTTCTGCCTCCTTCAGACGACGAATCCACGGCAGCATACGCAGCATTTGCAGTTGCAATTACCGGCGTCATGCTGTTGCAGCTGCTTTTCGATTGTATTCCGACAGGGCCGAGCAGTTGGAAACTCGTCCTTCCTTTATAGAGAGGGTCCTCGGAAATCGGGGTTTTTTGGGACTTTTGGAGAATTTCAATGTCATAACTGTAATCAGCGGCACAGACAGGCCCCAGAATGACAAAAACATCGAAGGTGAAACTTTGGGTGTACGCTGCCTTTAAGACGTAATTTTCAAATTTTGCGACTTTGTCAGTGCTTCTAGTCGTGTTATGACGATCAGTTGATGTGTAATGTTGCAGGATTTTATGATTTCATTGAGGCCAAAGCTGCTAAAAAATTTTGTTCATAAGCCTTTATTGGGGTTAGCAAGCAATCATCACTTAAATCTTGAGCCATTTTGCTCAAGTGTAGGAGCATAATAAAGCTGACAACGTCGCCGGAGACAAACACTACGAAAAGGGGATAAAAACTCAGAGACGCATAAGAAACTAGATTGCCTTTGACGAGCATTTCGACTTACAAGGGATGGTCAGAAGTCGAAGTGGCCAATCCATACAAGTTGCATGCCATTAGATGCGGCATAAAACGCTGACTCTAAATCTGTCCTCCTTATCTGCAGAGCGCTTTTGTGGACGAAATTATAAGCCGTTAAAGATCATTATTTTGCTAAGGAAGTGTGCGTGTAAAGTGCAAACTTAGGCGTACAAAGTCATTCTCGGCTCGGTGTTCGACTAACATGCAACTAAGTCCCTTCCTATGACCCGTACCTAGAGGTGAGCTGAAAAAGCCATAATGTGCCTAATTTCGCAAATTTTGTACACGGCTTTTCGCAATAAAGCTGCTCAAAACTTCGCCTACATAGATGTTCTGCAGATATGGAAGACAGATTTGAAATCAGCGTTCTAAGCTGCATCGAATGGTATGCAGCTTGTATAGATTGGCCACTTCGACTTCTGACATTCCCTTGCTAGAAAAAACGAAACGTTTTCATAACTGCTTCCTTTCTCGTTTGTTTCCTTCTTGATAATCAATATTACCGAGATATGTTCGTTTTCAACAATCACAAAGAAGAAAAAAGCTTCCCCTCGTTTTCCTTCGTCTTTTGGGTTGACTGGTCCTGCGAAAACTGCAGTTCGAAATGCCGCCAAATGAAAGATTTCAAACTCATTGCAGCGTTTCTATCCGAATTCTTGAGGTCTCTTTTGATTTTTTTCCATCTTTCTTTCTTCTCTGTTTTTTTTACAACCTTCACCATTCGTGGGTTGCAGATATTCAGACAACCTTCACTTTTGAGGTCCCGTCTCTAGACTATCGAGGGTATGATTTACACCTTACATCGTGTGCCTGGCTTCGTTCCACGTTTTTTATGATAGATTCAAAAACGGCATGGATTTTCGGACCGACCAGATATAAGCGCAAGGGGCTTGAACACAGAACAACTGTGCTTATGCTTGCGACGTTTACTTTGGTCTTTCAAGAGTCGCGAAATCATGCCGTAACTTCCTGTTGTATGACCAACAACACTCTACTTGATTAGAATATGAAATGTTACCGGGTAATAAATTGAGGCGTTGAGTTGTCTGAAAACTCCGTATTCCGGCACGAGACGAGTGAGCATAACTGAGGCATCTTCAAATATAAAGGGAGTTTTCGAATGTAAGGAAGAGCAAGTGTAGTTTGAGCGATCGCGCGTATTATTGAGTAGCTCGGTCACAAAATCCATAACGTTGAGATAGAAGGCAACATCAACCTGTGAAAACACTTTGTAAATTTGTGAGCATACAATGAAAATAATAAAGGTCAAGCTGAGGTTTGGATACCCTGGGAAGTGAGGGGGGGGATAAGTCTTATCAAGTGATCAGAGAGAATGGGGTCGTAATCGAGGTGATATTGATGTTAGCAATAGTATAATTCTTCTTAACCATGTCAAATAGGCCCATTATGCAAAATAAAAGCACATTGACAATTATGTATAGTATTGTGAGTACATAAGCTATCGTCCATCGTTCAATATAAAGAAAGTTACCAAACGTAATGATTATCATTTCGTAATTAGCATGTCAAATAACTCTAGGGACAAGTTGATGTTTTAGCGGATTTGAGGTCTCCCAATACTGGGCCATTCAAATGCAATCATTTTCGAACATGATTAGCTTCGTTTTGAAGATGAGTGGCTACATCTTTTTGCACTCACAGAGCACTGCTCCTTCTTTGCCCGCAAGAGAGATCCCACTTCAACTGACCCCCTAACTATGAAATTAAAAGCCAAGGATCTTGTTTGTCCCATTTTCGCTTTCAGGTGTTGTGCTTATAACAACCATTACTCAGACTGACAAGGCAAATTAGGCTTAGAATACTTACGTGAGCCACTTCTGAACTATCGATTATATATCATCTTTGTCTCCTTGCTATACTCGTTGTAGCGCGATTTAGCATGCTACTTTGATCCATTTGCCAAGAACATAGATTTGAGAATAGCTACATCTCCTTCTAGAATGAACAGCTTCTGGTAAATCCTTCACTGTGAAAGGAAGAAGTTGCTGCGGTACGGAATAGGTTTTTTTACGTGGGCAAAACAGGAGTGTGTTCTGTCAGTGCAAACAGGGTTAGTTACCTCACTTTTGAAGCAAAGTTAATCATGTTTGTAAACAAGCATTTTCCTTGATTGGCCCAATATTTGGAAATCACAGAATTCGCTAAAATGCACAGGGGTTAGTTGACCTTTAAATTACGAATACGTCACTCATCATGCTTATCAATGCCTTATGCATGCTTAGATAAGGAGACTGTAGTGTTGCGTACTATTGAGAAACTCGGAGGAAGGGGTCATATTCGGCGGTAGTATGCCACACCTTTTGCTCGGCCCTGAGGATAATTTATGTTTGGCCGTGATGCATAGCCCCCAAACCACAGAAAAGCTTCTTCTTAGCAGACGTTAGCTAATTGCGAATGTCTATCATTGATAAACTTCTGCAAAGCAATAGGCCTATTGCTCTTGCATCAAAAATAAACTTACGCTTTACTCTTTGAATGTTTTGTGTAGATTTCTCGGTAAATATAGTGCACCTGCAGAATCGATAGCACTTGCTTGTGAACATTGCCGTAGACCGGGAAGTTTTGGGTAATTCAGTGTTTTCTTTGCTCATCCTTCATTTCTCTGTATGCTTCAATCGACTAGGAGTAGAAGGTAAGTTGGAGAGCTGCTTTTAAAGTTTTGACCAGTCATATCGTCGTTTGAGCTCAGGCATACCTTCCGGAAGCTGCATCGCATAAAGTTTCTAACGTAACTCCTTCGCTCATCTCTTCTCTATTGCAAAACGTTTCTCTGCCACGCTAGTGGGTTCTCTCAGGGTCAAAGTGCTCACCAACAGTGAATCTTTGTTCATTTGAAAGTAACACTGTCTCATTAATACTTCATGTGATAAGGAAACGTCGAACAGGACGAAGAAACATACTAGCATTGTGAAGAAGCGTTTTCGATTGTATAGAGATGAAAGAAAGGGTTGCGTCACACACTAAATACGATGCAGCAGAATGTGTACATCTGGACTCAAAAGACATGACTGGTCATAATAACAAAAGCTGGGTAGGTAGTAAACCTATCGAAACTCAGAGTTATAACTCAGAGTTAACTCTGAGTTATCCCTGAGCTAACGCAAGCCTTTTTGCCCCCCCCCCCCTCTTAACAGGTGCTTGAACAGACCAAATCTGGAAAGCGACAATATGGCAGGATACTTCGTAAGCGGTAATATATTTCTAATGGAGCAACATTGTCCAAATTACTCTGCACATGAAACAGCGCCACCAAACGCGCAACTTAGCTCTATAACTCCGAGTTTGGTGCGTGTTCCAGTCTTCCATAAACACAAAGATAACTCTGAGTTTTGTTAGAGAAAGAGAAGTAGTACAGAAAAAAATAGGAGCAGCGCTAAAAAGTCGTCCGGGGTACATTTTGATCGTAATTTCAGCAGGCATGATGGGGGGGGGGAGGAGGTATCATGGTGCGCCGTTATTTACAAAATTTTGAAATTTTGTAAAACCTCGGCCCAAGGGGCTATTCGGTGTGCTGATCACAAATACGTTATCATCTTTTACCTTGGGGCCATAAAGCCGGTTTACGGTGGGTTTACGGTATACAGGAGAAAATCTCAAAATTGGCCGAAACATGGATCAGTGGGGTTATCGGCGTGCTGATCGCGAATATGGTATTCATTTCATACAGCGACGGCATCTGGCAAGATTACGGTAGGTTTATGGTAAGTGAGTTGAAGCGGCATAATTAGCTGAAACTTGGTACACTGGGGTTATTCAGGGCGCAGATCACGCACAGTCTATCTGCTCCGTACACTGGTGTCATTTTGAGTGATTACGGTAGGCATACTATAAGTGGGCCAAATCATAGAATTAGGGCAAACTTCACCAGGAGGCTTTATTCTATGCGCAAATCCTAATAGTCCATTCTTATCATTGCCTATGCCATCCGCTCTCACTATTGTTTGACGCTTTCAGTTGCACAAAAGACCATCTGTGGCAATAAATCACCACTTCTCGACAGATTTGAAAATGAATGAGGCTTTGATTAACTTGTTTTGTCATGCTATGTTTTAGTGCAATGAGTACATTATGACAAAGTAACTCTATGCTTCAAGGTGTGTCATGGCCTTGCGGTTTAGTGATAGGATCTTTGCGCTAGACCATACAGGTTTGAGTCCCAACACTAACATCGCTTATGCAACAAAATGCGTAACAGCTCCCCAAACCGGAAAACTCCGAGCTTGAGAGTTGAAACTCGAGACTTTGAAAGAGGAACTCAGAGTTTGAGTAAGTATAACTCTGAATTCCAAAAACGGAACTCAGAGTTATTTCTGAGTTAACGCGGAGCTTCAAACTCTGAGTTTAGACCAGATAGATTACTACCGACCCTGCTTTTTAACTTGCTTCCTACTCCAGTCGATACAGGCATACCTGAAAAATTGAAAAGTGAGCAAAGGAAAGACTAGAATTAAACGGATTCTTGCTGCGTTCACGGGCAAAACTGAAACTACCTGCTTCTTGCATTGTTAACGCACAAGTGCTCCGCTTTTGAAGGCACATTCTGTTCGCCAGGAAATCCGACTCTAGTTTTTCATTGGAATACTTTATATATTCCGCGTACAAATGCCAGATTGTGATCACAAATGAGGCAACGTACGTGACAGACGAAGATTCTGCTGGTTCAAAGCGTTTGATAAAACTGAGTGAATTACTTTAGCCTTTGAGGATGGAGTTCTTTGCCGAAACGTAAAGCTCAATAAAGTGTTCTATTGACAACCTTTGGCACAAAATATTCAATATTCCAAGGTTCAAAGAAGGATGTCTGAGTTAGGAACTATTTTCATTTTTCCCTGTTTTCGGTGTGTTAGCGCTTTTTGATACCTTTCGTTGAACTGATTTAAAAAAGAGATAATTCTGAAATTTTGGTGTCAATTTACCAACCAACACGAACTTTCTTGAAGCAGGAAGGGAATCAAATCATGACCAAAGATGAACCCAAACTTAAACAAAAGGGAACTATTCAAAACTTGAACAGCATCTCGAAAAGTTTAAAGCGGACTCCCTTATCAGCATGTGTAGCCGCATGTGCCAGCAGAGAGCCTTGGTTCCAATGACCAGATTTAGAAAACGCATGATTTCTTCCTTTAAAACTTACGAAAATAGGTAATTCCTCTGAATTCGGATATTGCGATTTCATCAAAGTTTTGGTGAAAGACTTTTGGATCGATCTGATTAACGTGATGTTCACTATACTTTACATCTTCTCGAACAAGAATCACTGATCATTGTTTCAGATACGGTGCTGGACACTACTATGAGTCCACTATAAAAATCTTTGCGTTGGGTTCCTCCATACTACGCCGCAGGACGCGAGGTGCTGCGGCGCACATCGCAGGACGCAGCAGCCTGCCGCAGCACGCCGCTGCATGCCGCGCTGCAGTCGCAGTGAAAATATACGCTCACGGCAACATTTTCGCCGTTTGGATGTATATCTATATTTGCTGCACGTTCTCCGAAGTGTTCTTACCATAGTTGCGATAGGGGGAGTGATGGATCTTACCCCCTTCACTTTGAGGCCAAACTCCCGATGACTCCCTTCACCTGGGCTGAGATTGGTATTGTACTCTGAGAATATGATAAAAATCATTATTAGAAGGCAGGCTAAGTACCTCAAACAACAAGTACACTCATATATCTACGAAATAAACGGTATTTATGTTTATTTATTTATTTATTTATCCTCGCAGCATTCATTTGGAGAGCAGAAGGTGAGGACACAAAATCAGTTAATTTTAATTTTTAGAGCACATAAAATCTTTCATATCTCGCGGCACAGAAGACCCTAGAAAAAGTCGACGGTCTAAGTCGATTCTCCATGATCTCAGCTTTCGAATGGTATACAGCATGTTAGGGCTTCTTTGCTTCCCGGCTCTAAAAATCATTTGCTCCGGTAACCGATAAAAGCCAATACATTGGTGGAGCTGGGTTGGAGCAAGCTAATAGTAAATATCTCCACCCCATTTTTGAAAACTGGTTAGTTTTTTCGCCCAGGAACCTATATACCATTCGAAAGCTCGGAAAAAG